CAGTCAATGCTGAATGGCGTACGGTTACCTTGGTGACTAGAGAAGAGTTGCTCTCTCCTAATTCCACAGATGAGGAAGGGGTACTGGGGAGCTTACCTTTTCCCTGCACGACTGTTGTGCCTCGCCTCCTGCGCACTCTTCCCCACAGTCTGGGTGTCCTGCGACCGCCTTGCTGTTACCATTTTGATGAATATTTTCTTGCGAATCAAACTTGAATTGGTTTGTCATGACACCCTCTTCTTTGTCTTTTTACTCAACTTTATTCTAAACAACACAATTTGTGTTGGTTGTGGATCTTTTTCTTAAAACACAGTATTATAAATATAAGATAATTGAAAATGTGAAAACATTTCTTGCACACCCCATGGGAAGCCGCCCCTGTATCTGTGTGATCCTTGTCTGGGGGTCACTGCCCACGCACCTCCATCCCCCACCCTTGGAGCCGTCTGTGCCCTCCTAGCCCCTGCAGGTTGAGTGGAAGGCAGTGCTCAGGCTTTGAGGATGGGTTATCGATCACATCCATCTCCTCAGGGAAGTAGCCCGTGGTGCCTTGTCAGACTTTTACTTGGAACATGAATTGCTTGAAAGGTTTTAGACATCGTGTTGACATAAAATGCACACACGGAAAGGGCACAAACTACAGCCTGGCCCCATAACCCCACGCCCAGTCTCATTCCTCTCCATGCGTGTTACACACGTGAGTTCCACGTTTTGCTCACTGCTGCCTCCTCAAGGCCAGAACAGTGCCCAGCGTGCTGCAGGTTTTCAATACACGCTGGTTGAATAAATGTGTGAGTGAGTGGAGACTCAGTGGGGTCTCTGCCTCCAGCCTTGTTCCTTTCTAATCTCCAGTCCACTCTGGAGCCAAAGTAACCCTTTATCATGCAATGTGATTGTATCATCTCCCTGGTGAAGATGCCCAAGTGAATTCACAACAGCAAAGACGTGGCATTAACCTAAATGCCCACCAGTAGATTGGATAAAGAAAATGTGGTACATGTAACACCATGGAATACTACACAGCCAGAAAAAAGAATGAGATCATGTCCTTTGCAGCAACATGGATGGAGCTGGAGGCCACTATCCTAAGCAAACGAACACAGGAACAGAAAACCAAATACTACGTGTTCTCACTTTTGAGTAGGAGATAAACATTGAGTACACATGGACACAGAGAGGGGACAACAGACACCACGGCCTCCTGGAGGGTGGAGGGAGGGAGGAGGGTGAGGATCAAAAACCCGGGGCAGGGTGTGGTGGCTCACACCTATCTATCCCCGTACTCTGGGAGGGCGATGGGGGTGGATCACCTGAGGTCAGGAGTTGGAACCAGCCTGGCCAACATGGCGAAACCCCCTCTCTATTAAAAATACAAAAAATTAGTTGGGCGTGGTGGGGCACCTTTAATCCCAGCTACTTGGGAGGTTGAGGCAGAATTGCTTGAACCGGGGAAGGGGAGTTTGCAGTGAGCCGAGATCATGCCACTGCACTCCAGACTGGGCTACAGAGTGAGACTGTCTCAAAAAACAAAAGAAAACTACCTATCTGGTACTATGCTTATCACCTGGGTGACTAAATAAAATAATCTGCACAACCAACCCCCCATGACACACAACTTATCTATATAACAAACCTGTACCTGTACCCCTGGACCTAAAAGTTAAGAAAGAAAAACAAAAAGGCAACCTCAGGCAAATGTAAATGAAATTTCAATATCATTCTATAAGCCTGACAAAGACACGAGGCATCTGTGTAAAGCTAACTGTCCATTGACTATTAAAGAATTGCTGAACTGGTTTAAAATATATATGCCTGAGTGACTCTCCTTGGTCACCATGATGAAGAGCAACCCCATAGGGTGTGACCCAGGGCTCCAACTCCCTTCCCTGTGGGCTGCACCTGCACGCTCCGCTCCATCTGCTCTGGGCACTCCTGCCTGGTCCTGGACATGCAGAGCCCTCCCCCCAGCACATGCATGTGCTGTTCCCTCTGTCTGGAATGCTCTTCCCCTGCTGGTCACCTGGCCAGCTCCATCAGGGCTCCGTTTACCTCTCCTGTCCGAGGGAAGCCTTTGCTGAGCCCCATCTATCCTGCCATCTGCCTCTTGCCCAGAACACTGTGCAGCTGCTCCCTTGTACCAGCCAGGACCAGCAAGGTTGGGCTGCAGTCACAAATAAACCCTGAAACCTTAGGAACTTCATCTGCTTCTCGCTCACACAGCATGTTCCAGAAAGCCCAGGTCCCCATTCCACACCATTGTTAGGGACTCAGGCTGAAGGAGGCACCACCACTCCTGGGCACAGCAGGGAGCAGAGAGAGTGGAGAGAGAACTCATTCCTGCCTCAACTGCCCAGGACCCAAAGTGGCCCGTGTCACTGTTGCTCACAGTCTGTTGTCCAGAACTAATTACCCGGTCCCAGCTGCCTGCAAGAGAGGCAGGGAAGCACGAACTCCTTGTGTATCCTCAAGAAAGTGGATATAAAGTGGAACGGTCTCAGCTGTACCCCACCATGGACTGTCCCATGTGACACTGTAGTTGCCTATTTACTTCTCTGCCCACCCCACACCCTAGACTGAAGTTCCTTCGGTTCACAAATTTCAGGCTTCTCCTCCATTTGACTCTTGGCAGCTAGCACAGTGCCCTCCTTGAAGGCCCGTGAAGTTTCAGGAAGAGTCGATCACACGACCTGCCCGGCCATAGAGCACCTCCACGCCTCCACGGAGCCGACTCCCCTGGTGCGGCACGGCTGTGATGGATCATTTCTTCATCCATCTCCTCCCTCTGCCAAGTCATCAGAAAATGCTAAGCACCTATGGAAAACCCTGAACACACTCCGCCTGTTGTGTCTGGTTTTCATTTTATGTTGTGCTGTTTTTTTGGTACGATAAACAAGGTGAAAGCAAGGAAGTCAACAATGTGGGGTTTGAGGAGGTTTCAACAAATGAATGCTACCTCGCTGTGTTCTGTTTTGAGCACGTGCATCCCTGGTTTACACTGAGAGCTGGAAAATGACGCTTGGATGGCAGCCAGGTTTCCAGGGGGAATAAACACCTCCAAAGGGACAAATGTTTTTCACAGACTGTGAGTGAAATGGAGACTCAAATATTTAAAAATAAATATATAAAAAAGAAGAAAGAAAAGAAAAGGCAAGGAGACCCTGCTGACCTTAGTTCCCAAATGAGCTAAAAACAAGTTTTTATAGTAACATTTTCTGCTTCCAAAGAAACAAAACTTCGTATTTTCACTACTCTCAGAATAAGTATTTCTGTGTGTCGCTACTCCCAGAACGAGTATTTCTAAAATGTCATTTTTGAGATTGAACAAGTTACTCATCTGTAAAATAGGAATACTGATAATTCCTCACTCCCTGGGTAATTATGAGAATGAAATGGATTGTTATACAAAGATATAGATCGGGGCCAGCGTGTGGTGAGTTCCATATAATTGTTAGTCATCACTGTCTTCATCATCACCATCATCATCATCACTGTCATCACCACAATCACCACCATGATCATCAGCATCATCACCACTGTCATTATCATCACCTTCATCTCCATGATCACCACCATCATCTTCATCATCACCACCAGTGTCATCATCACCACCACCATCATCACCACCATTGTCATCATCACCACCATCATCATTACCATCATCATCACCACCATGATCATCACCATCACCACCATTATCACCATCAACATCACCACCATCATCATCACCACCACCATCATTACCATCACCACCATGATCATCACCATCACCACCATTATCACCATCACCATCACCACCATCATCACCATTATCACCATCAACATCACCACCATCATCATCACCACCACCATCATTACCATCACCACCATGATCATCACCATCACCACCATTATCACCATCACCATCACCACCATCATCACCACCACCACCATCACCACTACCATCATCATCACCACCATTGTCATCATCACCATCAACATCATCATTACCACCAGTCATCATCACCACGATCACCATCACCACCATCATCACCATCACCACTGTCATTATCATCACCTTCATCTCCACCATGATCACCACCATCATCTTCATCATCACCACCAGTGTCATCATCACCACCACCATCATCACCATCACCCTCATCACCACCATTGTCATCATCACATCACCACCAGTGTCATCATCACCTTCATCTCCACCATGATCACCACCATCATCTTCATCATCACCACCAGTGTCATCATCACCACCACCATCATCACCATCACCCTCATCACCACCATTGTCATCATCACATCACCACCAGTGTCATCATCACCACCACCATCATCATTACCACCAGTCATCATCACTGTCACCACCATCATCACCATCACCACTATGATCATCATCACCACCATCATCACCATCCCCATTGTCATCACCATCACCACCATCATCACCACCACCATTGTCATCATCACCATCACCACCATCATCACCATCACCACTGTCATTATCATCACCTTCATCTCCACCATGATCACCACCATCACCATCACCACCACTGTCATCACCACCATTATCACCATCACCACCATCACCATCATCATCACCACCACCATCATCATCACCATTACCACCACCCTTATCATCATCACCACCATTGTCATCATCATCACCACCATCATCATTACCACCATTGTCATCATCACCGTCACCACCACCATCACCACCACCATCACCACCATCACCACCACCACCATTATCATCACCATCACCACCATCACCACCACCATCATCATCATACCATCATTATCATCATCATCATCATCATCATCATCATCACCATATTCAGGAACCTGGGAATCTGGTGTGATTAGAAATCAGGTGTGCAACCTAGCAGAGGGAAACTGGAAACCCAAAGTTGACTACAGGCAGAGTACAAAATTTCCTCTAGGCCTTAGTTCCCCCAACTGTAGAAATGGAGACAGCAAAAGCTCGTGCTACCAGCTTAAGAGAGTTTGAGCTACGGCAATGCAGTTACTATTTCCATGGCTGCAGACAGGAAGGTGTTAGATCCATTATTGTTAATAGTAATGTTTATTTTGGAAAAGAGGGTCAAAGTAGGATTAGTTAATATGTTTATAATCTGTATTTGTTCTCAATCTATTTATGGACCCAGAAATGAAGGTGGTCTAGTTCTCTAAAATGCAAAACACTGATGATAAACAGAACCTCCAAACTGGGCAGTTTTCCATTATCCCTGGCCTTGGGTGAGTCTTTCCACCTACTTGGAATAACGCCCCCACCCCCTCTTCTTCTGAGAGTTCCCACTTGCCCTCCATGCTCAACACAGTCGCTTTTCACTTATCAAATAGTCCAATAATCTAAAACATGATCACCCCATCATTGTCCCTTTACACCCAGCAGTCGGGGTGGGGGGATTAATTTTCACAAAGAATGGTTGGGTAAAGCAGAGCTGAAGTATTAAAAAGGAGCCCATACCTTTCTGCCTAGCAATTTAATTTTAAAATTTACATTTTAAAAACTTTACATTCTAAGCATTTGTCCTGGAGAACTAATCATGGATTGGCAGCAGGCACTGGCTCAAGGGATGATCACCCCAGCACTGTTTGAACAGCAGAATAATGGGAGACCACCAACATGTTCCGCTCAGGAGATGGCATGCTTGCATGCTGGAATACTAGGCAGCTATCAGAAATGTTTTTATGGGAAAAGAAAACACTTAGTAAAATGGAAAGATGCTATGATGTTTCAAGTGGAAAAAAGACAACATTCAAAATAGCGAGGGTGGCCTTACATCCTGTTGTCCCCTCTCACTCTTCACACTCCCAGTTAGGACCATGAAGTCCCTGGTCACCTTAAAGTTAGAATGCAGAGCAAGGTCCCGTCTTCATGGAAAACATTGCCTGTACTTCTTCATAGAAAAATGACCAGAAGAACATGATCCAGACATTGGTGGTGATTGCCGCCGGGAGCGGTGTTAGGAGCAGAGCTCCCAGATGGCCCATTTGGCACCAAATAGCACCGCTTCCTGCCCGGTTTTTCCTGATGTAATTAATCAGTTAATCACAGTGTCTTCTCTCACTTCTGAAGTGTCCCAATTTGGCTAATAAATTACGTGGTCACCATAGTTCTGAGAGATTCTTACGGTGTTTTTGCGCGTCTCTGTTTTCTAAGCGTTTGTCATCAAGAGAATAAAACCGGAAAAGTACGGAATGCCTCAACCAAAGCACCACCTTCCTCAGAAAGAGTTCCCCAATCTTCCTGCATGAGACACTCAGGGCTGAGTCCCCAGTGTCACTTCTTGTCTGGCACATGGCAGGTGATGATATTCAAAGAAACTAGGGCCAGGTGTGGTGGCTCATGCCTGTAAACCAGCAATTTGGGAGGCCTAGGCGAGTGGGTCACTTGAGCCCAGGAGTTTGAGATCAGTCTGGGCAACATAGCAGACTGCCTCTCTGTCTCCACTAAAAATACAAAAAATTAGCTGGCTGTGGTGGCATACTCAGGTAGTCCCAGCTACTCGAGAGGCTGAGCTGGGAGAATCACCTGAGCCTGGGAGTTTGAGGCTACAGTGAGGTGAGATGGTGCCACTGCACTCCAGCCTGGGCAACTGGAGTGAGACCCTATATCGAAAAAAAAAAGAAAAAAGGAAAGCCCAAAGCCCACCCCTAGCCACGTGGATGACGCTGTGCTGCTAGCAATGGGAAGAAATTAAAACACTCCTCATGCAGACACAGAAAACATGCCTCCTCCAAGGATTCCGTTCCACCTGCTGGTCGGCAGGGCCGCCCACTCCCTCTGTGGGGGATATTTTCCTGGCTCCATTTAGCTGGTGTTTGCCCCCAGTGAGGGCCCTCCATGTGGGAGAGGAAGAAATTGACCCAGGAACCAAGCCTGAGACAGAAGCACCGAGTGTCCACCTTTGTACTGTGCAGAGCTGCAATGCACTCCTGTCTGTTTTTCCAGGGATTTTTTTCCACCCACCTTTGAACTACCTTGAAACAATGAAGTGTTCTCTTTTGACAGGCTGGCCTAATGGGAAGGTTGACCTGATTTCCACTCTCCTACCGAAAAGTGACAATGCAGCTGCCGGGCCAAGGAGGGACGTTGTGTGACCAGTTCAGAGGCAGGAGTTCACGCGGCTGCACTGACCCTCTGCAAAAGGAAGCAACTGGACATTTCCTCTACACATTGTCTCTTTTGAAAAGTTCCAAGTGAGGAATATTTGTACTTGATTGTTTTTCTTTCCTTGCATGCCAGCAAAAACTTGCTCAGTTTAGGAGAAACGGAGAAAAAGCCTGGGTTATTAAATTTTAGCGGACAATCATGTTCAAGCCAAGGAAAGTGCGTGCTGACTTCCCCAGGAAGAGCTACCTCTGCCCAGCACCCATAACCACCCCAGACCAAGAGGCCTGAGCACAGTTTTGGGACATAGATTTCAGGGCAAGTTGACTGTCATGCTTACAACCCTTTAGTGCTCCCTGTTACTTGGGCAGGGGATCTCTGTCTGCTTTTACCTGGAAATCACGTGGAATACCCATAAAAATACTGAGCCTGGGCCTCGCAGACCAACCGGAACCTCCAGGTGTATGTGTATGTGTGCGTGTATGTGTGGTGTGTGTGTGTGGTGTTTATGTGTGTGTGGTTTGTGTGTGGTGTGTGTATGTGTGTGGTATGTGATGTGTGGGTGGTGTGTTTGTGTGATGTGTGTATGGTGTATGTACGTGACATGTGTGGTGTGTATGTGTGTGATGTGTGTGAATATATGTGTGTGTGATGTGTGTATGGTGTATGTATGTGTGTGATGTGTGTATGCGTGTTTATATGTGTGTGTGATGTGTGTATGATGTATGTGTGTGATATGTGTGGTGTGTATGTGTGTATGTGTGTGGTGTGTGTGTGTTTATGTGTGTGTGGTTTGTATGTGGTGTGTGTATGTATGTGGTATGTGATGTGTGGGTGGTGTGTATGTGTGTGTGATGTGTGCATGGTGTATGTGTGACGTGTATGTGTATATGTGTGTGATGTGTGTATGTGTGTTTATATGTGTGTGTGATGTGTGTGTGGTGTATGTGCGTGATATGTGTGGTGTATATGTGTGTGTGTGGTGTGTGTATGTGTGTGGTGTGTGTACGTGTGTGGTATGTGATATGTGGGTGGTGTGTGTTTATGTGTGTGTGATGTGTGTATGGTGTATGGGTGTGATATGTGTGGTGTTTATGTGTGTGTATGTGTGTTTATATGTGTGTGTGATGTGTGTGTATGATGTATGTGGTGTGTGTGATGTGTGTGGTATGTGTGTGATGTGTGTGGTATGTGTCCATGAATGTTTGTGTGTGTGGTTTGTGTGTATGTGATGTGTGAGCATGATATATGTTGTGTGTGTTTGTGTGTGCGTGTGTGCTTTGATTCTTTGAAAAATTCATCAAGTGACTCTAATATGCTTTTGTTATTATTTTTTTAAGGTCACCAAGTGACTCTAACATGCAGCCAGGCTCATATCACAGCTGCTGGCCTCAGTCCGCTTGCAGGTGGCTTCTTGCTGCCAGTACCAGTGGCCCCATCCCATGGGTGTCTCTGGCTGAGGGAGCATGCTTAACCCACGCAGGGGCAGAAAGGGTTGCTATGGGGTGGATGGCCCAGGAACAGCCTCTGCCAGCTTGGGTTGAAGGATCAATACCTCAGCTCCCTCACCACTCATGCAGACCACCTGAGGGGTGCTCCCCACTGTCTCTAGGAAGCCTCTGATGGGTCCGAGTCCAGGTGCCTCCGGCGAAGCCTGACTGTCAGCACTCCCCACCGTGGCTTCCTTCCCTTCTCTGTCACACGTCCTCACGCTCCTACTAAGCTTCTTGGGATCCACCCAAATAATCTCCTGGCACTCAGTGCTCGTCTTGGGTCTATGGACAGTCCCTAGAAGAAAACTTGACAGTTTCCAGTAAGCCTGAAGCACTGCACAATCTGGTCACATGGTGTCCCCTCCTCAGTACCCTCCCCTTGGCCACCCAAGCTTCCTGTGTCTGCCTTGAGTGTCCAGCTTCATCTGTGCCTCTGGATGCAGTGCTCAGCTTCGAACACTGTTCCTGTCCTTCCCCTTCCCTTAACCGTCTAAATCCTACACATCCTCGGACCTCAAGTAATGCCCCTCTGTAGGACAGCCTTCCTCAGTCCCCCTGCCTATCCTTTTGGTTTCTCAGCATTAGAGCATCTGCCCAGACCTTCTTCCCTTGATGCCACCATTTCTCTCTGTCTCCACAGACACCATCTGTGTCCAGTCCAGCTCACTGTTCTCCTGTTCTAACACACTTCACCTGCTCCCAGCCCAGCACCGGGATGCTCAACCCTGGCAGCCCATGGGCATCCCTGGCAGCCCTTGAAAAAACATTGACCCCCTCAGTCCTGTCCCCCAGATTCTGCTTTCTGGGGGTGCAGCCTGGATTTCTGGATTTCTAGTGCACATCCCAGGCTGAGAAACCAGCACTAGAATCTCACCTCACTGAGCTCCAGCCACACAAGCTCCTCTCTGATCTGTGGGCATGGCCAGTAGAGCCCACGCTGGGCCTCCGCACACGTTGCTGCCTCTCCCCAGAATGCTGTTCCTGTCTCTTCCATGGGGATGGTGTTCCTTCATTTTTCCCTTCAGGTTTAACTCTTATCATGAATTTTTGAGAAGAGCCTTCTCTGATCACCCCAGCAGTGCTCTGTTTCATCAAGCACTGGCCACAGTCTCACGGTCTTGTCTGCTTGTTGATTTTCTGTCTTTCCCACCTGGAAGGTGAGTTCCAGGAGGGCAGGGATGGATGTCACTCACCATTGTGGCCTCATTTTCTGAATGAATGAATGAATGGATGGATGGTAAATTCCGGCTTATAGTGCTCCTGCTCTTCAGGGCACCATGCCAGTTGCTTTGCAGGAGGCCAGGCTGGTGGCCTCCACTCTTCTGTTTTTGTGATTCCAATACTCAATTCCAAGACTCATCTAAAACCATCTTCTCTCTTCTGAACGGAATCCACACCACCAGGCTCAAACCTGCCTCCTTCAGCAAGCCTCCCCAGGACCCTCCTCGCACGTTCCCTGATGACACGTTCAGGCACACACATTTATTGTGCACCAGCTGAATGCCAGCCGCAGCGCTTAGGTGGGGATTCAGCTGTGAACAGCATCATTGCGGAGCAAACCAGACCTGTGGTACAGAACCACAGAGGCAAGGAGCCACAGCACCGGAGATTGACAGGGCCAGGGACCATCCCTCCCATCACCCGTCTCCTGAGCTAGATGGAGTTGGGCTGCTGAGTGGTACCCGAAGCATCCTAGGGCTCCTGTTCTCCAACCATTTTCTTGTGTGTGTGTTTTTTTGTTTCTGTTTTTGTTTTTTTGTTTTTGAGACAGAGTCTCGTACTCTCACCCAGGCTGGAGTGCAGTGGCGCAATCTCGGTTCTGCAACCTCTGCCTCCCGGGTTCAAGCGATTCTCCTGCCTCAGCCCCCCGAGTAGCTGGGATTACAGGGGCCTGCCACTGTATCCAGCTAATTTTTGTATTTTCAGTAGAGACGGGGTTTCACCATCTGGCCAGGTTAGTCTCGAACTCCTGACCTCGTGATCCGCCCACCTCGGCCTCCCAAAGTGCTGGGATGGCAGGCCTGAGCCACTGTGCCTGGCCATTTTCTTGTTTAAGATGAACTTTTGCTGCCTCTATCTGCCTGGTGTTTGCACCCAGTGAAAGCTGTCCCTGTGGACGAGGAAGAAATTAACTGAGGAACCAAGCCTGAGACAGAAGCACCAAGTGTGCACCTTTGTACCCTGCAGGGTTGTGATAAACTCCTGACTGTTTTGCAAGGATTTTTTTCTACTCACCTGTGAACTACCTTAAAAAAATAAAGTGCTCTCTTTTGACAGGCTGGCCTCATGGGAAGATTGTCTTCCTTCTTTTTGGAACTCCTACAGAATTCCTCCCAGGCCACAAAGCTACAATGTGGGACTTTCCTTACTTAAAACGTTACTGTCGTTTTCATAGTCAACAATTCCATCCAGCACAAAGGCAAGAGAAACTGATGAGTCATGGCCATCTTTAAAGGGAAACGAAAAAACAGGTGGAAAACAAATATTTGGGAAGGAAAGGAATAGTTCTCATTCTCATAAAAATGAGGGAGGAAAATGCCTTATTGCATATTTCTTCTTATGTTCATAATCCTTTTAACCAAGGGTGTTGACGAGGAGCATTTGTATAGAAATCTTAGATGCTCTGAAGTCAATGCTTCATCTGACCCAATACATCACACACTCTCACACTCATACACTTTTACAAACACATATTCACACACATGCACACACTCTCACATATTCGCACACACACATTCTCACACCCCCACAAAACTCACACACACACTCACCAAGCCTATGTCATCCCCCCTGGTTTTTTTTTTTTTTTTTTTTTTTTTTTTTTTGAGAAGGTTTCAGTCTCTAAAAAGCTGCATGTACCAAAATGAGCAAAATAAGTGAGATATGGAATCCACCTTGTTGAAGGGCTGGGTTTTATTGGTCAGCCGGTAAATGAAAGCACATGGAGAAGTGATACATTCAGGAACACGCTGCGACTGTATTACCCCCTGCTTTATTGGTTCATCTCTAATCGGAACCAGCTGGTCATAAAGAATAGGGTTCATGGGAATCCACCCTCTGTTGAAAGCCGGGCCAGGGTGGATGCTGGAAGCTGATGAGCACAATGAAAACAGCTGTAATTGACTTGTGAGGTCAGGCTCTGGGTAAAACTAGGGGACAGAGGTGACGCTACAGCTGGTGCATAAAATACTGGGCTCCTGGTTACCCATAATTGTGTAAAGAGGAGCCGAAGAGAAAAGCTTCCAAGTCTTAGGAAGCTCCTCCCAGAAGAGTCTGCTGCTGCCGGCCTGCACCTGGCAGCTTCAGAACCACACAGCCACTCTGGGCTGCCTGTTGACATGAGTCACAGTAATTATAATGATGGCACCCATGATCCTGATGATGATGGTGACGATTCCAGTGATGATGAAGATGAAGAGGATAATGATGGTGATGAAGATGATGATGGTGATGGTGGTGATGAGCATAATGGCAGCAGTCAGAAACTCCAAACAGGCTCCGCAAAGCACCAGGAAAATCTCTATAGCAAAGCCCTGAAACCTTTTTTTTTCTTCGAGGCAGGGCCTGGCTCTGTCTTCCAGGCTAGAGTGCAGAGGTGCCATCATAGCTCACGGCTGCCTTGACCTCCTTGGCTCAAGCAATCCTCCTGCCTCAGGCTCTGGTATGGATCACCATGTCTAGCTAATTAAAAAAAATTTTTTTAGGGGAAAGGGTCTCACTATGTTGTCCAGGCTGGTCTCAAACTCCTGGGCTCAAGTGATTCTCTCGCCTCAGCCTCCTAAATGTTGGGATTACAGGCGTGAGCCACTGAGCCTGGCCAAAGCCTTGCGGTGTTAATGCTGCAGGAGTTGCAACCTTGACAACAAAATTTAACAGTTTTCATTTTTTCTTTGTGATTTATGTATTTTAAACACTTTTACCCCCCTAAACAAGGAAACTGGCATCAGAATTCTAGAAATGGAACATATACATTCGCCATCCCCATGCCTCTTCCTGGCTCTAATCAGCCCAGCAGGTCCACCCTTTGGAAAATTGTGATATGTCAGGAGGGTCTGCGGGATATTTTTAGTGCCTGACAACATCCTACCTCTTCCTCTCCCTATGGGGTTGTGTGATATGCACCTCACTCGATACTTAACATTTCAGTTATTTTTTAATTTATTTTTTATTTTTTGAGACGGAGTCTCGCTCTGTCATCAGGCTGGAGTGCTGGGGCGCGATCTTGGCTCACTGCAACCTCTGCCTCCTGGGTTCAAGTGGTTCTTCTGCCTCAACCTCCCAAGTAGCTGGGACTACATGTGTGCGCCACCATGCCCAGCTAATTTTTGTATTTTTAATAGAGACAGGGTTTCACCATGTTGGCCAGGATGGTCTCGATCTGTTTATCTCACGATCTGCCCACCTCGGCCTCCCAAAGTGCTGGGATTACGGGCGTGAGCTTTTACAGATAGATTTTTGAAACAATTTAGCAAATATTTTGAGGTCTGGGGGTGGGTTAGAGTTGGGACCTCCATCTACATTCTGGCTACGCTTCTTTTCTCCAGGCCCAGGTCAGACAAGTCTCAAGTACACAGTCTGGAGGCAGCTTCACATTTCCTCTGAACACAGGCTGTCATCCCAGTGCTGGAAGTCAGTGAGATCAAGCTCATCTGTGATTCCTGGAGATGCTGTAGCCAAAACAATGCCAGGCTTCCCTCTTCCAACTTCATCCCTTCACTTCCACTGGCCCCACAGTGAAAGTAGCAAGCTAATGCACATGGATCAAGTCCCTTCCTCCCCTGGAAAATTAGCTGCCTGAGGGCAGGGCCTTTCACTGTCTCATTCTGTGACACATCATCAGCCTGACTCAACCCATGTTGGTGTTAGCAGTGTGTAGCCTGCTCACTAAATCCATGTGGGGAAATTACTGTCTACAACCGTCCAATGGCCTCACTTCTCCTTGGTGGTGATGATGATGATGGTGATGGTGGTAATGACAGTGATGACGGTGATGGCGATGATGGTGATGATGATGATGGTGTGATGTGATGGAGGTGCATGAATGGTGATGGTGATAGCGAGATGATGGTGATGGTGAGGTGATGATGGCTGACGCGCGGTGACCGTACATGATGATGTTGATGGGTGCGTGATGATGGTTGATGTGATGTGGTGATGGTGATCGGGGGGACGGTAATGAATGTTGAAGGGTGGTGGATGATCGGTGCAATGGGTGGTGGAGGGGATAGGTGGTGATGATTGGTGATTAGTGACGGGTGATGGTGATAGTGATGGTGGCGATGATGGTGATGAAGATGATGATGATGATGGTGATGATGATGGCGGTAATGATGATGATGATGGTGATAAGTTTTTCTTTTTTATTATCATGACCATTACTAGAACTAATGAAGCAAATTAATCTGTAGTCACAAGGGTTTCTGAATATTTCCAGCAGCAAGAAGACCACTTCTTTTCTATATGTCTTCACCCTAAATTGTGGAAGATGTTATAAAGAAGCTCATTGTCTGACTCTGATCAGTTTGGGTCCAGGAAGGAAATGCCCTGAGGCAGATGGAAAGAGAAGTCTGTTGTCCTGGAACAGAGACTTAGCAGAGGAGAGCAGTGAGAGAGGCCAGCACTTGGAAGCCAGGGAGCACCCCCTGCCCGGCCACTTGGGGTCGTCTCCTCCTTCCCCACACATGGCACACACACCTGCCAGCTGGCCTTTGCTTTGCCAGCCTTTATCCTGAAATGCCCTTTGTCCTTTCCACCAAATCATCCTGCAGGTTGAAACTACGTCCAAGTGCATCAAGCTGTCACCATGTGCCTAGAACAGTGTCCCATTTCATCCTCTCAATAACTCTATGACATAAGGAAGGTAGGCACATTGCCTCCATTTCACAGATGAGGAAAGTAAGGTTTCCAGAAGGGACTTCATTTGTCCAAAGTTGCCCTGCTAATATTCAGTAGATCCCACAGTCCCCTCTCCCCATGGGCTTTTTGAGGCACCTTTAGGTTTCTTGGAACCCAGTTCAAAAACCACTGACCTTGTCTCTCGCTTATGGGCTTTTCCAGCCTGTGATGTGGTTATTTTTACAACTTTGGTTCTCTCTTTTGGTCTTGAGATGGTAAGAAGTGGATGAAATTCAACACGCTCTGTACCCAATGGGGCTCACCAGGGGCTTTGAAGGCAAAATGTTTTCTTTCGTAAATCTAGAATTTAGAAAATAAATTCTTCTTCCCTACAGGCAGATGCTCGCCCACCCACCAAGGCTGAGGCCAAAGAAAATTCTCCGATGACAAGGCTCTGCAGGTGCCGTACAGAGCGAGTACTTTTCAGGCAGCTGGCGGAGCCCAGAGCAAGCTTCCCCCGGAGCATCCAAAGGGGCCACTTGGCTGCGGTCGCCATTGCGAGAACAACAGGAAACTGAGCAGGGGCTGCGCTCGTCCTGGGCAGGACAACTCTCCATTTCCCTTCAGGCCTGGCATTGTTTTGCTGATGGAAGAAAAGTGGAATGGGGCGTGATCACACTGCCGGCTCAGCAGCTGGAAAGCTCGTGTTGGCTTAAATGTGCACAAGGTGAGGTCCCTCTCTGCCACTGATCCCCACCTCCTCTCACCACAGGGTGTTTTCTGATCACCACATGTATGTTGGTTAGAAGACTTGGCAGTTCTCTGACCCCAGAGGTAGAGCTAGAAGTTGACACAGAGTCCCAAGTGGCAACTCCGTCTATGCTGTCTGTTGGTGATGATGGGTGGGGCGTCCCAGGAGGAAGAGGACTTCCCAAGATCCCTTTCTGAGACGGGATGGTGCAGAAGAGACACTGGCTAGGAGAAGGAGGGTTGCGGGGGCTCCAGGGCTCCTCTGCTCCTGAGTGTCAGTGGAGGGTGGGCATTGACCAGACCTAAGAGTCTTTGAAGCAAGGTCATGGGCAACCATGACTGCATTCCAAGAGGCCCAAAAGATGGAAGGCCCAGGAGACCCCCAAGAATGAATGTGTGATGAGCAGCCAGGCCCTGATCACCCAAGTCTCGGCTTTCAGAGGGGAGGGGTGGGGCACATAATATTTATCAGAATTGTCATTAGATTAGAGCACTAGTTTTGCAAGCTCCATAAGGTTAACAATCTCTGGGGAGCTTTCTATAAAATACTACTTCCCCCTCCCAACTCCAAGGTTCTGAACCAGTCAGTCTGGAACTGCATTTTAACAATATCCTGTGGGTTTCTGATGTGGCTGTGAGTGGGTCACACTCTGAGAAACAAGGTCTTAGAGCAGTGGTTCTCAAACTCCAGCACCCTGAGGCCCCTGCAGAGCGTGTTCACCCCCAGATGGCTCAGCCCTTGCTAGGGTCTCTGATTCAACAGGTCTAGGGTGGAGCTCCAGAACCTGCATCTCCAACAGGGTCTCAGGAGAGGCTTTCTGCTCTTCCCACCACCCTCCTTTGAGAACCACTCTTCTTTCTTAGAAAAAAAATATCAATTTGGTCATGTCAACGTCTCAAAGGCAGGGGAACCAGGCCTTCGCCATTTTCTATCCCCCAGCACGGCGGACTCATCTCTGGCTGGTTGTGTTCGCCTTGAGAGTTTTTAAAAAGTTCTGGTGATATTTTCCTCTGGGTGAGCTGCCAGCTACATTTCTAAAGGCCACCCTCCCCCGGGTGATGCTGAGGTGCAGTCAGAGCAGAGAGTCCCTGTCCCACCGTGCCTGACACAGTGCAGGCAGTCAGGTTTAGTTTTTATGTCAGTGTTTGTTGAGTGCCCACTGCAGGCTTTCACTGGTATTTATTGAGTGCCTGCTGTCTTCCCAGTACCTGCAAGAGGCAGTGGAGGTGGGAGAAAAAGGGACCTGCCCAGTCCTCAAGCAGTTCACAGCCCACTGGGGTGACAGGTGTGCAAGGCACCCAGGTAGGAGCTCCAGGTGAAGAATGGCAGGTGCCCTAGGACCGCAAAGCAGAGAGAAATGACTCCGCTGAGGGTGAGGCAGGGTGTGAAAGGTTCCAGGAGAAGGGAAAAGCTGAGCCTGTTTTGAAGGACAGCTCAGGAAAAGGCAGGCTGGGATGGCTCAATTTCCGGCTGCTGGGATGGCCACACAGCGACAGCATCGTGAAACAGCATGGAGCATTCCACGAACTCTGGGCAGGCTGGAGTCACTGGAGCATGGAGCATGAGGCAGGAGTGATGGAGGATGAGGAAGGAGACAAGAGCTCATCAGGAACATGCATGTTTAGATGTAAACTGCCTTCGGAGCATCAGTTATGATTCATTTGCCCTGACGGAGAGATGGAAGTTCAGTGACGCACAGCAAGCCATCAGCCCTGGTGCAGCCGCATGGGGACCCGATCGCCGCCCCTCCCAGGCAGGGAAGCACAGCCCATTGAGGCGATTCCTATAAAAAGCACGACTCTAACTCCTTGCTGGGAGCTTTTGGCGCTAGCATTCCTGTGGGAATCCCAGTGCCCTTCTCCTAGGAATGAACGGGAAGAGATGGGGAGAGGGCTGCTTGCCTGGAGAGCTGGTCTCTGGTCTCTGGTCCTGTTCCAGCCACTCATTCACTGGGTCGTCTTAGCTGAGCCTCTTCTCATTGCTGCCTATAAAGTGAAATTGTGCAGAAAATCTGAAGACTACTCTAGATTGTTCCATTTTAGCAAGGTGTCTCCTGGTGCACCAATGCATGAATGGAGGCAGTGCTGGGAGAGGGAGGCTGCAGACCCCCCGGGCTTCCTTCATGTGCCAGGCCTCCCTTTACATGCTCTTACCAGCTTGGCAAAATTCCCTTCCTGCCACATCCTCGGACAAGCCCTGAACACCACGAAGCAAAGTGCAGGCAACGTCCCTCAGCGTGAGCCCACAGCTTCCTCAGCTCCACACCTTCCAGCCAGGAGAGCTCCCCAGGTCACAGGCCCTTGAACAGAAATCAGTCTAGTCAACAATGTTTTGGAAATTAAGACCAGGCCCTGGCTCCTCAGGGAGGAGCGAGAAGCCCGTGGGGTCTGCGGCCTCTTTCTCACGAACTGCCTCCATTCACAAACTAATGTGCCAAGAGAAAACTTGCTAAAGCGGAACGGCCTAGAGTTCCACTAGAGATCCCACCGTGGTCTTCAGATTTTCTGCCTAATTTCACTGGAACTCCAGGTTCAGAGGCAGGCAGGCCTGGACATTGAATCCTGGACTCCCAGCTGCACTCTGGTGAGAAGATGCTGGGGCTTTATCCTTCACTTTCCCTTCCTTCGTGTGCAGATCCTATGCCCACGCAGCTACCCCCTGCCTCACATCCACTGACAGCTTCACGCTGTTCTTAGGATGAAGGCCTGGTATTGATTCAGTGCTCCATACATAGTGGTGGCTGCAATTGGGATTCTTCGGAGAGTGGCCCCAGGAATCTCCCTCAAGCTCGCTGGCCCTCAGTCTTCTGTGCTAGGAGCCAAGGAAGGCCTCTTTCCTGCATATTCCTCCAGGTAACTGGGATAAACACTTGGGAAACTGATGAGAAAGGCTTGGGACACCATGATGACCCAAACTGTGTGGATAGGGCAGGCCTCAGGGGCTTGCTTTTTATGTCGAACCTCCCATCATGTGCTCTCACCAGCTTGGCAAAATTGCTTTCCCACCACATCCTCAGACAAGCCCGGAACACCAAGAAGCAAAATGCAGGCAACATCCCTCAGAGTGAGCCTCATTCTCAGCTCCACAGCCTCCAGCCAGTAGAGGTCCAGGGCTCCTGAAGAGAAGCAGGATGAGGTTCCAGTAGGATGTGCAGACCCTTCGGGATTAAATTCTGTCTTCCTTGGAAGACTTGGAAAGGCAGATGATGTAGCCAGATGAATAAATCCAACCAAGTTGTCTGGTTCTTTTGGTTGGGTACCAGTGCCATGAAAAAGCAAAGATTCTTTTGTTCCCTCGAGATCCATTACTTTCTCTACCCGTGTTACCTCCTCCATTCCTCCCTTAGCCCACAGTTTCAGTGGGATTATCCCCCGTGTCCTGCATCCAGCCCTGGCCAATCGGAGCTTTTCACCACTCAGATCACAGTTGCCGGTTCCCATATCAGCAACTGGTCCAAGTGGGCCGAGTAGACTCAGTTCCAGGGCTTCGGTTGGAGCAAATGGGAAGGAGAGGCTGCCGCTTTCACTGAGGTTGCTGGGAAAACGAGACTCAGCCCTGGGGCTGCCACCTGACCTATCCTGATCATGGAACCCCAACAGAGGAAAGCAGAACTGAGGGCTGAAGTGGCCCAAATGGAACCCTGCTGACTTGTCTGAGTCCCTGGATCCAGCCCTACCTGAATCCAACAACAGGAGTTTTCAGTTCCACAAACCAATCAATTCATTCCTTTGCTTGTTTAGGTACGTTTCTGTCACTTCCAATCAATAGAGTTTGAGAAATACATGCAAATGATGATGAGAAGCGAAGCTATGCAGAAGGATGGATTCCCATCTGAGTGGGCAGCCTGATGCCAGGGCTGGCATGCAGCTGTGTGTCCATCCACTGGTCCACTGGCGGGTGCACTCTGCCTCCTCCCAGTCTGCTGTGTGTTGCAGGGTGGCTCAGGGCTGCACTCCAGTCCCCCCCATGTCTGCTGGCTTCCACCTGGTTCAGCCAACAAGGGACAAGCAGAGGTAGGAGGAAGGGAGGAGCCAGGACGTTCTCTCTCCTCCTCCTCCTCAGCCACAGGCACTGTCTCCCCTGCAGCACCAGCACCCCAGCAACCAGGGCCCTGATGAGCACATCCATGGGGTCACCCTGCACTGCCTCCTCCCTCTGTCCCAGCTCTGGATGGTGTGATGGGGGAGGCCTTCGCTCCTGCTCACCTGTGGGTTTCTCCCTGTCCCCGGTCCATTTCTTAGCAAAGCCATCAAGTATGTAGCCAATTCCCTGCATTAAATTCTCTCTGTTTTCAACATTCAGAGTGTTTTCTCCTTTTCCTGTTTTGACTTACACCAGTACAAACAGCAAATAGGTTTCCACTTACATCATAGAAATAGGGAGCACAGGAACAGTGAGGGGACAAAAATAAATTTAGAGCTACCAGAGCCAGTGTAAGGTTAGACCAGACAGGGGTGAGTGTGAGGCTAGACCAGACAGGGCCTTACTACAGGGGTGAGTGTGAGGTTAGACCAGGCAGGGTCTTATGTGCCCCAGGGGTGAGTGTGAGGCTAGACCAGGCAGGGTCTTGTGTGCCCCAGGGGTGAGTGTGAGGCTAGACCAGGCAGGGTCTTATGTGCCCCAGGGGTGGGCAGACATTTTGGGCTTTTAGATGTCACACAAGGTGAGAGAGGTAGGCCTTGTTTCTGTGTTAGGGAAAGGCAGAGATAGGTGGGTTGGGTGTGTGTGGGGGGTTACAGATAGCACAGGAAAGGAAAGTGTGAAAACGCCATGCTGTGTGTGGCCCAGGCACGCCCTTCACGTTGGTTGAGAGATGTGAGTGAGCAACTTGGCTTTTTTTTTTAAGATGTCCTCTGGTTGCTGGATTTGGCTTCTTTGATGACTGCATTGCCCTGAGACTGGACCCCAGAGGTAAGGACTTCCTGGACAGTACTAGGTGGGTCACTTCCAATCCAACAAAACCCATGTGATCGGTAGTACTCTTGAAAATCATGTACCTCACCCTTGAATGGCAGGACTCAAGCTCTAAAAAGCTCAGACATCTAAAAAGTTACCTTTTTTGGCTGGGCGTGTGTCTCACGCCTGTAATCCCAGCACTTTGGGAGGCTGAGCGGGTGGATCACGAGGTCATACGTCGAGACCAGCCTGACTAACATAGTGGAAACCCCGTCTCCACTAAAAATACAAAAATTAGCTGAGTGTGGTGGTGCATGCCTGTAATCCCAGCTGCCTGGGAGGCTGAAGCAGGAGAATTGCTTCAACCTGGGAGATGGAGGCTGCAGTGAGCCGAGATGCACCACTGCACTCCAGCTCAGAGCAAGAGTGCGAGAGTGTGAGACTGTCTCAAAAAAAAAAAAAAAAAA